CAACCCTTCCTATTCTCCCCTCTTCTACTTCTCATCTTATTCTCTTTCCATAATTTTTTCTCTTTTTTTTTTTTTTCTAGTTTGAGCTTAAATGGAATCTAGATTTTAATTTTTGAAAAAAAGTTTTCAATGTTTAAAAATTTTCATAAAATTTTTAATTTTTAAAAGTATTAATTTTGGATTTTTTTTAATTCTTTAATTTCAATAAAATTTAGATTTTAATTTTTTTACAAAGTTTTAATGCGCTAAAAATTTTTTAAAAAAATTTCAAATTTTTTAATTTAATTTTTGAAAATTTTGTATATATTTTAAAATTTTTAAATTTTGATTTTGAATTTTTTGAAAATTTTTATATTTTTTATTTTTTAAAATATTTTTTCTCTTCATGATGACGTGGTGACTAATGACATGGCATTTTTTTTTCATGTGTGATATCATTTTATTATATATTAATGGCACATCATCAAGTTAACAAATGATGTTAGGCTAAAGTAAAAAATATTTGATGAAATAAAAATTCAAATATCTAATTACGAATTTTAAGTTTTAAGATATTAAATTGACAAAAAATATATAATATGGGACCAAATTTGTATTTAACCATATAAAATGTGTATTAAATGAATATATATTATTGCGACATCTCAGGACTCGAAGGCGGATGACTCGAAAGCTGGACGAATAGGAAAATTTGAAAAATGAGGACAAAAATATTTTTAATAAAAACAAAACACAAAGTCACTATTAATCTCTTTTAGGTTGTAATGGTCACTCAAAAATTTTGTCATTTTAATAAAACATTTTAAAATGGGTTTAAAAGTTTCATAAAAAGAACAAATTTGTGATTTGCAAAATTAGAGTTTAGATCTAGGAGTCAATTATGCTTGAAAAAATATTAGTACCTTTACAGCACTCATCAAAGACAGTACCATTCCTTCCCAACCCTTCCCATTCTCCCCTCCTCTACTTCTCATCTTATTCCCTCTCCATAATTTTTTCTTTTTTTTTTTAGTTTGAGCTTAAATGGAATCCAGATTTTAATTTTTCAAAAAAAGTTTTCAATGTTTTAAAATTTTCATAAAATTTTTAATTTTTAAAAGTATTAATTTTGGATTTTGTTAATTCTTTAATTTCAATAAAATTTAGATTTTAATTTTTTTAAAAGTTTTAATGTGTTAAATTTTTTAAAAAATTTTCATATTTTTTAATTTTATTTTTGAAAATTTTGTATATATTTTTAATTTTTTTAATTTTTTAATTTTTGATTTTGAATTTTTTGAAAATTTTTATATTTTTTATTTTTTAAAATATTTTTTCTCTTCATGATGACGTGGTGACTAATGATTTTTTTTTCATGTGTGATATCATTTTATCATATATCAATGGCACATCATCAAGTTAACAAATGATGTTAGGCTAAAGTAAAAAATATTTGATGAAATAAAAATTCAAATATCTAATTACGAATTTTAATTTTTAAGATATTAAATTGACAAAAATTATATAATATGGGACCAAATTTGTATTTAACCATATAAAATGTGTATTAAATGAATATAGATTGTTGCAACATCTCAGGACTCAAGGGCGGAAGACCCAAAAGCTGGACAAATAGGAAAATTTGAAAAATGAGGACAAAAATATTTTTAATAAAAACAAAATACAAAGTTGCTACTAATCTCTTTTAGGTTGTAATGATCACCCAAAAATTTTTTCCTTTTAATAAAACATTTTAAAATGAGTTTAAAAGTTTCATAAAAAGCAAATTTACGATTTGCAAAATTAAAATTTAGAGCTTAGAGTCAATTATGCTTGAAAAAATATTAGTACCTTCACGGCACCCGTCAAAGACAATACCAATTAATTGCATGTTATACTTAAATTTTGGTTAAAATGGTCTTATTTTCCCTAATGTTTAAAATAAATTCTTTTTCTTTTTTTATTTTTCAAAAAAATCGAAACAGATCAAAGTTTTATAAAAAAAACTTTTTTTGGATCAAAATAAAAATATTTTAAATATAGAAACACTTATTTCACTCTCCTATAATTAGGTAGAGTTTCAAAAATATTTCTAATTTAAAATTTTTCAAATTGCCTTAAAAATTTGAGATAACACCTTGCATAAATTATAATTACGAAGAGTCCCTCTATAGTTAAGCCATATTTTGATGACTATATTTAATTAATATGTTACCTTGTTTAAAATATTTTCTTTTGAAAACCAATTTTTGAAAACAAATGCATGAGATGCATGAACATAACAAAATATGATAAATGCATGACAATATAATATGAATGATAAAATATGAATCCATGACAATATAGCAATGCATATGATGACAAGCTAATATGAAATGAAAATGCATGATTAATATTAGGGCTTAAGGGTTGGTTTTAGGGTTTAGTTTGGTTTAGGGTTTGGGACAAGGGTTTAGGGATAAAATTTACGATTAACAGTTTATAGTTTAGGGTTTAGGCTTTCAAGGGAATTTGGGGTTTTAAATTTTAAGGTTTCAAGTTTAGGGTTTCAAATTTTGGGATTTCAAGTTTGGGGTTTTATGAAAAATGCATGTAATAATTACATATTACAAAAATGTCATTAATGATATATGTGCCAAAAGTATAACATAAGAAAAAATAATTACAAACCAATGTATTTATAAAATTAAATTACAAACATTTTGTGCATGAAAATTCAAGAACAAAATGGATCAAAAATGAAAAAAACTTTGAAGCTTGTTTGAATGTTCCACCATTTTTTTCTTAAAACTAACCAAATAAACACAAAAAAAAAAAATCACAAAAACCACTTACTAAACTAGCATTTTTTTCATTAAAAATTCATTCAAACACATTGAAAAATTGCTAATCATCATAAAAAACATAATCTAATATATGAATCAAAGCAACAAATAACTTGAAAATGATGAATAAAGTTTGGCCAAAGCATGAAACACCATGGCTGAACCTTCATGGGACTATTATCATGTAATCTTCACTTCATTCAAGCCAAACATGCACTATATACTTACTTAAACATTACATAAAGGTATTTGAATCATGAGGAGACATTTATCAAACATGAAATAAACTAAAATAACTAAGGAAATATGAACAACTTGAACATGAGCCAAACACCATCACATACCACAAAACTAAATCATAAACTAAACAAATAACAAGTGAACCATCAACCAAACATACATAAGTAGCAAAAGAAGCAAAGAAAACAATTAGAGGGAACCAAGAGAAGGTTTGGCCATGGTGTAGGAGGTTGGTCAAATCTCCAATTTGGTTTTTAAATGGTGAATTGTTTTGCTTTTCTTATTTTTCTAGCTTCACTCAAACTATTGATTAGTTAGATGAAATTTGATTCAAACTTTGAACAAGAAAATAAACTACAAACTTTCAAGAAAACCAATAAAGAAATTGATGAAACAAGATGAAAATGCAATGGAAAATGTAATGAGGATGCAAGAAATGCAAATATAGATGTTGAGAAAACATACCTTCATGCAAATAAAGCATAAAGATTTTTTTTCTTTTTTCCTTATGATTTTTCCTTTTTGTTTTCTCTTCTGTTTTCTCACAATCTCCTTCTAGTTTTTTCAATGCAGAAACATCCCCCCTATTTTGTGAAGAAGATGGTGGAAATATCTCCTGCAAATTGAACATTGACCCTAAGATAAAAAAAAAAATCTAATAGCTCAAATTTCTCCATTATTTTTGTTTCAATGAACAAACTTTAGCCATTGGATCCAGATTTTCCATGTGATCCAATGGTTCATATTGTTCACTGTAAAAGTTAGATTTTTGCAACCATTAAAACCAAATTAAAAAACCATTTTACCTCAAATATAAAACTTTTTATCATTAGGTCAAATTTTTAAATAAATGTTCCTGTGCTCATTTTTAAAATTTTAAAGCATAAAAAATCATGAAATAATATGAAATTAAGATTTAAAAATTTTCGTGAAAATCTAATATCATGAAGGTCAATTTATGAAATTACCCCTAAGACATATTTTGGTAATTTCACACCTCCTAAAGTACTACTACAATTTTGAAAGCATAAAAAATCATCAAATATTATAAAATCATGATCTAGAAAGTTTTGCAAAAAACTAAACTTGAAAAGGTCTAATTATGAAATTATCATTATATAGTATTTTGATAATTCATACCTCTAGAGGTACAATTAAGGTTTTCAAAATTCTAAAAATTATCAAATAATATCAAACAATGATATTGAGCATTTTACTAAAATTTGACATTGAGAAAGTTAAATTACAAAAATACCATTAAAGGACATTTTGATAATTTCATATCTTCTAAGGTGTGATTTAGGTTTTCAATGGATCAAAAATTATGAAAATATATTCAATTATTTTCTAAAAGTTTTCACAAAAATTCAACTTTGAAAATGTCAAATTATAAATATTCTTCTAAAGATATTTTAATAATTTTACACTTCATGGAGTCAATTAAACTTTTTAGTACTTTAAAAATTACAAATTTCAATTTTAAACTACATTGATTTCAATTGAGTTATGAATTTTGAATGTTGATCCGGGTTCTATCCGTTTTGATCAAGTTTTATTAATTTTAACTATGTTTGACTAATTTTAACTTAATTTGGTAAAAGTTGACTTTGAAAATTTTGAATCAAATTGGTTTTAATTTGAATTTTAAAATTTTGTTAAAATTAAATAAATGTTAGATTTAAATTGAATCGAAATTTAAACTACTTTACAAAGGATCACATATTATCCGGATAAAATTAAGTGTCCATGTATATATTTATTCTTTTTTACTTTTTTTTTTTTTCGGTTGGAATATATTTGCCTTTTTTCAGTATTCAAGTCATAGAAACAATACACCACCAAAGCTCTTTAAGATTACAGTTGCAGTAAGTGGCAGTTCCATATTGCGGCAGGCTTTATTCACGTTTCTCAAAAAAAAAAAAAAATCAAATTTTGACCTTTCAGTGGTTACTAGTATAACGAGAACCAAACCATACTTTGGTTTATTTTATATGTATATAAAAGGGCTACCGCTATCATAGTTACAGCTAAGTAATGGTCAGGCCTTTGGCTATCTCTCCCTCTCTTCTACGCTCCTTAAACCGCTAAAGTTCCAGCCATGGAGACATTGATGAGATCTCTGCTAACTTTAACACTCTTCACTCTTCTATTATCTCACATTTCAGGTATTTTCTTACTCCCTGTCATCTTTTTCCAAGATCTGTCGATGCCATATAATGCTAATGTTTTTCAGTTTTCTCCATTACTATCTTTCACATTTTCTGTTGATTCAACTGTGTTTTTTTTTTTTTTTTTTTTAAACTTTGGAGAGAATATTTCAGAGAAATTATGGTTAGGGTCTAGCATTTGCTCTTGAATGAGCTTCTTTTTTTCCTAACTTAATTAAGACCAATTCCAAATGTCTTGGATTAAACTCCTTTTTTGACATAATTTTTCTGTATTCTTTGGCGTTTGGAAATGTCTGTGCTTTCAAACTCCGACATAGGCAAATAGATCTGCATTAATATTTTAGACAGATCCTTCACATTTTTATAACCATTGTTTTTGTTTTGAACAGTTGAGGTATCAGCAACAACTATAACACTCTACAAGTGCCCTCACCCAGTGCGGCCAGGGATCCAACCAAGCGCTGGAAAGCCTCTTTTAGCCCGCGGTGGCTTCAAGCTTCCACCCAACAAGGCCTACTCTATGAGTCTCCTTCCCCTCTGGTCAGGTCGTTTCTGGGGTCGCCATGGCTGCTCCTTTGATGCCTCTGGACGCGGTCGCTGTGCCACAGGGGACTGCGGAGGCTCCCTCTTCCGTAATGGGCTTGGCAGCACCCCTCCTGCCACCCTAGCGGAAATCACCATCGGTAAAGAGCTAGATTTCTACAACATCAGCTTGGTGGATGGGTACAACATTGCCATGTCTATAACTCCTTTCAAAGGGTCAGGCAAATGCAGCAATGCAGGATGCGTCAATGACTTGAACTTGATGTGCCCCGTTGGTTTACAAGTGAGATCAAGGGATAACAAGAGAGTGGTGGCCTGCAAAAGTGCTTGCTTTGCTTTCAACTCGCCAAGGAATTGCTGCACTGGGGCTTTTGGGACTCCTCCATCTCGCAATCCAACCGCATATTCAAAGATTTTCAAGGCTGCTTGCCCAAAAGCGTATTCTTATGCTTACGATGAGCGCACTAGCATTGCCACTTGCTCCCGCGGTAGCTATTTGGTTGCTCTCTGCCCCACCACGCTAGATTTTAGGCTAATCGGTCCATAATCCGTTGTTATTTTATGTAATTATATAATTAGCATGAAATTTGGTGGTAATATCTACTTCTGTCCTCTCTAATCTCTATCATATACTATATTGCATGGTCTGTTGTGGGCTTTTTGTTAATAGAAAATTTATGTTATATCATATTGGCTATGGCAGTACTCGTGTGGCGAATTTGTTTGTTTTCTGCTTAGATCTACACAGATAATTAGAGATGTGAATGGAGAACCTGGGCAGTTTTGGCCGTTGGGGAGTGGGGACGTGGGGTCCTACCCCCTATACTCTTGAGTAGGTGACCTGTGTTTTGTGGATGAAATGAAATTGAATTGACGTGGAAAGCTAGCTTCTGAAAAGTTCAAAAGAAGGCAATGAAATCGTCGATGCAAAACTACTCCACTTGTAGTAAATTATGCATTAATCAACATTTTGATTAAGCAAGAAACGTATTTTTCTTTGGAGTATTTGAATTTTACTTTTTTAAGTATGGATACATATATTTAAAAGCTATACAAGACATTGTTTATGAGACGAAAATAATACTTATTGATATGAATTCATATTTAATATATTAAATTACTGATAATGTATAAAATTTATATATTTTAATTAAATTATAAATCATTATATAATTAATAAAAAATAAATTTAAAAGTTGAGAATTCTTAAAAATAAATTGAATATATATCTTAGAATTTTTAATTTTTTAAAATTTGATTATTAATGATATAACAACATATGGTTTAATAAAAATGTATAAAATTTAAACACTGTTAATATATTAATAAATTCAAATTAGCAAAATCAACTTAGGTACTGCATGATAGAATAGATAAAAAATGAAAAGATAAAAAAATGAAAAATGAAAACATCAAAAATATTTTTTATTAGTATGCTTATAAGAAAAAGGAAAAATTAAAAGAATATTAAATTTTGTTTTCATCTATTACTTAGAAGAAATGAAAAATAAAAAATAAAAAATATCATTTTATCATTATATTATTTATAAATTAAAATGAAAAGATAAAAATCTAATCAATAATAAACAATCTTGTATATTTACAATATTTGACTTCATAGTTACACCTTGCTATTTTTTTTTCTTTTATATTCTCAATTTGTAATTATTTATTTTTATAAATAAGTGTAGGGTTTAAATGAATTAAGCTATTTCTAAATTATTTAAGTTTATTTTAAAAAAATTTAAATTTAATTTAATCATTATCAAATTAAATTATAATTATTTGAATAACAAGTTAAATTAAACTCGAGTAATTTAATATCTTATTTAAGAAAATTTTAAATTTAATCAAATTTTTATTTTTTAAATATATTTAACGCATAAATAAATGATAAATTTAATATCAAAATTTATAAATTTATCGAATCTAATCGAGCATGTCAGTATTTAAATTAAATTAGGAGCAGGCTACTTTCTTTATTATTGTTCTTATCGCACTCGTGAAAAGTATTTATTTATTTTTTTGTAGTACTTTTGTCCAATGGCTTTTCTATCCTATCGAGCAAAGACCAGAACTTAGCCAAATTGTTGTGGGCCCATGGACTTCGGGAGATCTGACTCTTTAACACCTCAAACAAATATTTTTGGCAAAAGGCAATGAAAACAATGCTTCTCCCCTCGTTTGTTGCTGTAAAGAAGAATTTAGTTGCATGATGTTTGGCAGCACTTACTCAAAAACCTCTATCAAACTATTATTATGAATATGATCCTCAACAAACTGAAACTCCAATCACTCCCTAAATCCCCAACCTTTTCTTTTGCATTCCATTTTTCAACTTCTTCTCCACCACATTACCAAAAACGACGACGACAACAACAACCCATCACCAACAAGCCATACTAGACGGACAAAATCCATAACCTCTGTACCAAACACCGAGACATCGACGAAGCCCTTCGTCTATTTGGCACTCTCTACCCCCATGGCTATCACCCTAATTCTCTTAACCTCAATAGCATAATCCATTCCCTTTGTAATTCCAACTGCTTCATCGAAGCTCACCATTACTCTCTTCTCTCATTATTTTTTTATTAATCCCTGATGAATGAACGTGCTATGTTCTCATTACTCGCTTGCTCCATTCTAAAACCCGACATTCCACATTTCATGTTTATGTTCTTCACTTAATGTAAAACCTAAGTTCTGCCTTCGTTAACAAATTTTAACCACCTAATTTTTCAATTTTGTACGGATTTATGATATATATAATGGATAGGGTTTTTTTATATGAAAAGTAAAGGATAATTTCCTAATGCTGTTACTTACATTACTTTGATTGTGGGATTATTGATGATTTTTTGGATGCCTTAGCTAGATGAGAGTTAGTTTGAGGTTATAAGTGATGGAACCTGAACTTGCAACCAAAAAGCACGGTCAAGGGGCACTGGAGTTAGTTCTCCAAGACGCACTCCAACACTTAGGTCAGTACAGAGTTTAGCTTTTAGAAGGAAGAAGGTGAAGTGTGCTGAAGGAGTTATGATAAAAGGAAGTGCTTAAGTCTTATATACTTGAGCCTCCTTTTTATCTTAAATATGAGATAAAGGATGATGACTTAATTAAAACAGTTGACAATTGATAATAAATTTTGTAAAATTCAAGAAATATTCATATAAATTATTATAAATTATATTTAATGATTTTAAATATATATTATATTTAATGATTTCAAATAAGATAAAAGTCAAATATTCAATTTTAAAGTGATGTTTTGATGGGACGAGATGTTGGGCGAGTCCTTCTTCGGTGAAGGAAGAGCAGTTCTTAAGATGAGGTGACGTGGTCACTGGGTATCCAAAAAAGTTGACTTTATTGACCAAGCAAATAAGCATAATATTGCCCCTAGGTTTAAGTAGGTTATAAAGTGATCATCCTTAAACCCTTGACAAAAGTCTATAAGAATATGCTTGGCAGAAAGGCAATGTCGGTTTGGCAAACTGTTTTTGATAACATGTCTTTTAAGGCGAGGGGTACACTCATGGTGAGCTATGTTGATAACTTGTCCATATGAGGCGTGAGGTTCTTTTTTGGCAAGCTGTGTTGATGATGTGTACCTATGAGGTGAAAGGTGCGCTCTTCTTGAGCTGTGCTGTTGGTTGAGGCACAGGGATAATAGGTGGGGACTTAGAGAAATTTTGAGGAAAAAAACTGATGCTCTGTAATCAGTGTGCATAAGTGGAGTGCGTCTATTAGGGCGATGTGAGGCGCACGCCAGTGTTTTTGAATGGTGAGCTGGTGTTGAGGAGTGGTCAGGTGTAATCAATGGTTTTAAATTTTTGAAATGAATCAATTTTTTTAAGGGGAATGGATGTGTCTATTTGCAGAGAGAAGTAACCAAAGGATCGATCTTAAAGGGGATTAATTTAGATCGTTTGAGGATCAATTGAAATGGTTCATACCGGTGCCATTTCAAATGTGTCATTTAATGCTTGAAATGGTTTCAATTGGTACCATTTCACTCGTGGTGTTTGGCTGAGCATAAATAGGAAACTTAGAAAATTTGTGACTCACTTATGCTATTGGTTTTCAAAAGAATCTTGCTGTGAGCGTATTTGTGCTTGTTTTTTGTTCTTAATTGTTCTACAAAAGTTTCTGTTAGTAAGGTAATTTTTTTTTAGATTTTTATTATCTTTTGTTATTTGTGAGGGAGAAATGGCACTAAAAAAGATAATCATGGTTAAGAGCTCGAGTGATAAGGAGAGGGTTAAGGTATCAATCACCATCACCGGTGGCCAACGTAGAGGAAGGCTACTCAGGGCAAAGGCCACGGGGATCAAACAAGGCAAAGCAACGGAGGCCATGGGTGTGGCATTGTAATTAGTGAAGTGGGGCCTCTCTTGGCTGACGTGAATGCCTAATTGCTATGGAAAGGAAAAAAAAGAAAAAAAAAAGGCAAAAAAAGTTATTGTGGAGTAGCATAAGGACTTAGCTCTAAGGACATGGCTCTAAAGACATGGCTGCCAGATGTTTATACTTTCCATGCAATGCCAGTCATGGTGGAGCTGGTGCTAGATCATGTGGCCTTCAACCCTCGTGATCCTATGTATGGGATTTCCTTGTCACCACCACGCTTTACGATTACTTAGGTGGGAACTTTGAGGAAATGGTAAGGTTCTACCTATACAACTTTCACCATGGGTTTCACCTACCTTGCATCCCTTCCTTCATTTATTGCTAGCCACCTACAACATAGCAGCATCCTAAATAGCATCAAATGCGTGAGTGATCTTGGTCACAAACCTGATCTATTGCAAATTGAAGAAATGGGTGCCTTAGTGAATGTGATTCTAGCACTTTACATGTTGTTGGAGATTAATGGCTGGTTCTGTTATCACCAGGTGTATGAGTGGTCTTGCATAGTAGAGCTACCTTCAAACGGCTATTCCCATTATTATAGGTACGTGATGATGTGTACAAGAATTCCTAGCGTACGATTCCCTTTCAAAATCAGGTGGTCTAACGCCAACGCACTGACCATAAAAGTGCTTAAGCTCGGGGATGATAAGGCTAGGTAGATTCAATTCATTGAAAGATGTCGAAATGTCATACTTGGAATAAGCCAGACATGAGAACACCTTGATTACTGCTTGGTTCTAGGTGAAGATGATCAATTGGCTGCTGCTATCTAGGGGTGATGGACAAAGAGAAAGGTAGGAAGGAAATGGTAGCCAAAGCAAAAGATAAGGACAAAGAAAAAGAGGCTCATTGAGGCAAAAACATAAGTTTGTTGTTTGGTTTACTTCTGTATTATGCTACTGTTTGTGTGGATTGATAGTGCTAGTTGATCATGGTGTTGTTATGTTATCGTATTGGCTAATTGACATTGCTAACTAAATTTGTTATGTTGTTGTAGTGAAGAGGGTAGTTGTGAAGCCCAAAAAACCTGTGGCTTGTCAGGAAGGTCCCCTTGTTACAGGCGTACAGCAGGTTCCTAAAGAAAAGCCATGAAGGCTATCCCTATTAGCATATAGGGAGCTGAGAGGGTTAGGGTGCTGAGCTAGTGAAAAGTAGTGGGAAGAATGAAGGGGTAGTGAGTGTGGGCATGCCTACTACGAGGGTCTCTCATAAGGGTAACTGTTGTTCCTTTTACTAATTTTTCTTTTCAGTTGACTGATTATAATCGTCGTGTCTTTGTTTTGTAGATATGGATCTAAACTTCAGAAGGTATTCTAACTAAAGAAGCAGTGGGGGAAAATTTCTCTATATACTAGTCCTTATTCTGTAAAAAGACAAGCAGTAAGGAGCTCACCTGAGTAGTGCTATACCTGCACCAACTATTTCTCTTCAAGTGGTGTCTGCCACTACAACCGTAAATACCCATTCTTGTCCCTGTTGCTCCACCATTGCTTAAGCCTCCAGTCAGGGTGTCTAAGCCTACAACAGTTGCACCAAAGCCCCCTACAATGACTA